AAATTGCATACTATTTCCATCAAAACATGCTAACATTTGTGAAGCTGCAGCGAATGAATCTAAGAAAATCACATTCTTTCGCTTGTCATTATTAAAAATATTATATATTCACGAAAGTTCATTTTTCTTGCTAAAATAAAAACTATAGACAGATATTCATTCTCGAAAATCAGATTTTATTAGCTTTGAAAAACTGGAGAAAAACGTGAATGCATGTGTCATAATACGGGTTAGTTATGCATATGCACCTCTATGTATATTCTCATTTTTTCTTGTACTCATTGGGCCTGTTAAAAGTCTAGAAGTTTAGAATGAACGGAATAAGCGTAATGCTAAATACATTTTCTATTTGAGCTACTAAATTAACCCTTCAATTCTTTTGCAAAAAGAGACTTTCGGACTACAAAATAGCTACCTCAGTCAATAGGTGGTTTTTCTTCTTGTCTTGATTCCTTCTTGCTGCGTGGACTAGCTAAGTCGTCTTTTTGGTTTGTTTCATACCTAATATGAATAAAAAGCAGTTCCTCTACAAAATGATTTCCATAAATGTTTTGCTCCTGAAGCAAAACTTTAGTGCTTCGCCGTTTTAAATTACTTGATTTCATAAAGAAAAGCTATTGCTCAAAGCAAGGTAATAGCAAAGTGTACTTAGTGATTTGCTTTCATAATCTGATTCTTTATATGAAAATGGTATATTTTACTGTAAAGTTTCAGTTAATAGAATATTTTGCTAAAGTGGATTTTGAAATCATCAGGGCTAAGATCAAGCTTCAAGCTTCAAGCAATAATAATCCTATTCCACGTTTGCATGCCATGTTGATATTAAATTTTTTCCCCAGGGCAATAATGAAAATCTATAGTTTTAAATTCTGAGTCTAAACATTCCCCATAATTATATATTTTTGCTTTACATTTCCAGGTTTCATGTAGTCAGTTTAGGCTTTGCTTTTAGTGTGATGAATATTCTGAATGATTAATTTGTGCTGGAATGGCCCAGAAATATTAGTTTGGTTTATTTAACTATGGCGATGCGCTCGAAGTTTATCTGGTTGAGAAGAGGGATGCTGCAGTGGTGTGCTTTCTAAGAGAAGCTGGTTTGTATACATGTTACATATGGAAAAATAACGGAGTGCTTATGCATCCACCCTAATCGCCGGAATTGGAACCTAAAGCGGACTTACCAATATTCCGTGACTTTACTGTTACTACCCCGGCTTACTACCCCGATAAAAAGTTTCAGATTTTGCTCATAATTGTTAACCATAAATGATATTATTAATGATATGATTAAATAAAACTGCTCCTGAATAGACATGCCATTTTGTCTGTCAGAATATTTTTCTGAATTTTATATCATCATGAAAAATAATATACGAGATTAACTGGTAGGTACATTATGACACTGTTAGTTTATATAATTGATGGAATAATATCATTTATTACTTATATATTTTAATTATAACTGTTAATCTCTTGATCCTTCCACTTTCCCACAAAAGGTTCTAACTATACAATGTATTTTTTAACTATGCAAAATACAGTTGATTTCTTTATGAATTTATCACTGTAGTTTCTCATTAACTAATTACAAAAATAAACGATATAGAAAGGCTAAATACTAAATTTCATTTACTGAAAGCCACTGCTTATAGCTGACAATTTAAAACAATAATAAATTAGAGGAAATATCCTGATAGTATAATAACAAACTATTATAAAACTGTACATTAAATAACGTTAAAATTAATAATACTTACCGAGTAGTAGTTGCACTGATTAATATTTAATATTAAACATTTTGCATAGTATTAGTATATATTAATTAGTAATATGAATAATATAATGCATTACAGTGGATTATAAAGACTGAATAATACATGTCATATGAGAACAGAAACAAAAACGCTACTAGATTCCACCCACCAATATAAATTATTTACATTATGTAATTTTTCGCTCACTATTTGACTGCTTTAGATCTCTTACCTCAAACTTCTGACTGGCTAAAGTGCTTGAAACTGGCCAATTCTCGCGGTCCTTTAACTGCCTTAATTCTAATTTCATCTGAGTTCACAGGGAGCAAGCAGTTATCTAACATTGTATCAGCCAAGTGAGGAAGTATCGCATTGCATTTCCCTATGCCTGTTTTGGTGCTATAAGTGGTTAATCCAACTAAATTGCAGTAGAAGTTCGATGGTTCAAATCTCAGGAAGAACACAGTTGATTTTCCATGTTTTCTTGTATGAAATCTGAATCATCGCTACATAGAGGCTCCTTTGCATAATCTTTGTAGTGTGAACTACACACTGAAGAAATCAGTGTTTTGAAATCAGAAGGGACTAAAAGACTAAAAGTAAAAGAGAAAAAAATTATTAGTTGTAACTTAAGCTAAGATTTATAAGTAAACAATAAAATTTTGAAAATATCTTCCGAAAATTTTATTTGAATTATCAATACATTAAAGTAAGTTTATCGTAAACAGAATTTTATTAATTTATTTTTTCTTCTTTTTCGACAAAATACTTCTGTTAAATTAATATAGAATTAGTATAATTCTCGTCATGAATCTAGAACACAGCCATGCGCAGTTTTAGTAAAGATGTACATATTATAATAACTATTATAAGAAATAGTAATAATAATAATTTTCACTTTTAATTTAAAATGATTTAGAACTAAGATTAATTCAAAAACAATTTCTTTTTATTCTATTTTTTATTTAAATTTGTTTCTTGTTAATAGATTTTCATCTGTAATTCAAAATGTTTATGTCTATTACATTTGCTTAACTTTTGTAGAATGTATACTTGTCTAGACCTTTATATGTAATTGAAATAGATGAATTTTAATTTCAAACATAAAATACAAATATCAGCCTTAGATCGTTACTATATTTATAAAAATATCGGAATGAGAACGCTCTCCTTCAAGAAGCAAAAGGATTCTTCGCTAGACATGGGGAAAACTGTTTATTGAAAAACCATTCTTCGCATCTGTTTCCCTCGAAATCGATCAAGTTTTTCTGCGGAATCAACGACAAATGTATACCTGAATTTTGCCTAATTTTGAATTATGAATAAAATTTTATTATAAATAACGTTTTAAGACTTTAAAGTAGTTTGTCTAACATTAAAGTTATCATTTGATAATTTCACTGGAATTTTAGATTATCAGTTGGTTGATAGCAGTTTGATAAATATTTCGTAGATAAACCAGATATTTATCATTTAGAAAAACGATTATTTTATCATAAGTGTACACTAAATAGCATAGCATAATATGTTACTGTACCACGATTTAATCTAAATTACGAAATTGTCTTATAAGTTTACTCATTAACGACAAGCTAAAAATATGTATCATAAGTGCCAGGATCAGTATTAAACCTAAATAAAATGTACCGCTTTTTAGTAGATAAGATACCGCAGCTATTAATGCAGTCTATTAATTCACATTAAGTAATCAGTCTTTTAATAAGCACGATTTTTCATTTGAATTAAATTCTAGATCTATTCATGAATGCAAATGGTTCAGTTAAATGTAAATCATGTTCATGAAAGACTAATCACTTTGTTGCAAAGTAAGGAATGTGTGAATAAAGAAGAAAAAAAAAGCATATGAAGACTAGTGAGCCCTTTAGGAAATGTTTCTACTGTGCAAGTTAAAACTAACAGACATTGATACATACAGAGCTAAATCTTATGTATTAAAATGATTACAAATAATTTGTGCAAAAGCATTATTTAACAAAATTTACCATTTTATTAATCTCAAAATATTGATTTTAAAGTCCGTTTATAGAAATTTTAAAATGATGAGAAAATATTTTCTTTAATTATTAAACTTTCTTTAATATGGTATATGGTTACTTTGTAAAGACTAGGTTTCTCTGAAGAAAGAAAAGCAAGACAATTAACTGGGACTTCGCCGGGACTCGAACTCCGCATCTTCCGGTTACTAGTCGGGCGTGCTTTTCAATTATACCTCGACGGCACACTATAAAGGGGGAGAAAATACCTTACACCTCCTATCATGGATACAGACTTTACATATTGAGTCCACAAAACTTGTCAAAGATCGAGATCTTGATAATCTTGATCCTATTAGATCTTGTGGAAGCTTGGCATTCTTCAGAAAGTGCATTTTGTACGTGATTAAGGGTTTGGGAAGACACTTTTTTTTGCCATCTGCAGTTTGATTGCCTAAGGAATCCCATACATGTGCATTCGGATTTAAGTCTGGAGAGTAGTCTTGTGAATCTATTCGACTAATATCTTCTCTTTCTAAGCATTCTCATATGATAAATTCTCGATGCGGGAGAGTATTGTCTGACAACAGCTTCTCTGCTTATAAAGCGGTTACAGTTTCTTGATGGGATTTTTGAAATAATATTTATATCTTGGATGACTTCCATTTTTGCTTAAAACCGCCAGTTCTGCCTTTCTTTACGTAATGTATTGGATTCATAATGAATACTGATCACTCTCAGAAACCTGATGAACTTTAAGAAACTCTTCAGACCCGAATTTTAACATGAGGCCATTGCATTCACTCTAACACGTTTTCAGGCTAAGTTTCGTATTTGATAGACTAATTTATGCGCTGAAGTCTGATATTTAGTTCAATAACAGATAATTACCAAAAATAATAGCACCACTGGGCTATCAATGAGCATATATTGTCAGATTAGCCTTTAAATTTGACGAACAGTGTAACCAGTTTATTTCTAATTATTATAAATAAAAAGTAATTAGGATAGGAATTTCATTATAGCCATACCTCAGATGAAATCTGCATTGTCTGATACTTCCATATTATATTTACAAGTACTCAAACGCATTTAAAATGCTGTGATGTAAGATGCTACTTTAACAGAGTTAACAGCCTTTATGTGCATGTGAAATAATAGTTTTCTATCTATGCTTTATATTACTGTGGGAATAATGTATCGGTAAAGTAAAAAAGAAGTTTAGTGATAATTCTGTTTTGTTTCATTGCAGCTTTGATTAATTTACAAGAGCTTCTGAAGTTACCAGTTCCAAGAAATGTGCAATACGTGTTCCGCAAAACGGACCAAAGGGGCTTCCGGGACGTTCTGAGGGACATCAAGGGTCGCGGTATATACAGCATTGTGGTGGATACTAAACCGGACAATCTGCCACATCTACTAAAAGCAGTGAGTTTTTCTACATTTTATTTAAATTACTTATCTCATATTCAGACGAACCAATTAAATTAGGAATTCTTCAAAGTTAAGATATACACTGAAAACACAAACTGACAAACGCACCTGCATTGAAACCACCTTAAGTGACCACTATCGGAACCACTGACTTGAGAACCATTGGTTATCGTCGGCACACTAGAATATAAATAGCAGAGGTGCGAAAGACATGCCAAAGATTGTTATCATGATTAAGAGCAGCGATTTAAGCGATTTTGATTGCGAGCAAACTGCGGGTCCTTGCAAGTCCGGATGTTCGATATCAGCAACCGCCGATTTGTCGAACATTCCGCGCAGTACTCTAGCACGGGTGTACTAATAACAACTCAAAAACGGAAAAAATGGTTTGAATCGTACCAAATGTAGTCTTAATCCGAGTGATGTACGAGATGCTTGGAATAACTATCGTATCGTATCGTAACGACAAAAAGTCAGATTATGTCATATTTTGTTAAATTCCGGTAAGATGCCAAATTACAAGTTTAATGCAAATGCTTCTTTCAGCGTCTTCACTAGGATCGTCCTCAACAACTGGAGCAGTCTGGATATAACAGGTGACAGCTACCCACAACTCCATTCTTAAAGGAAAGTCATCTATTGCTGCAGTGGTAATTTTCCAGATCGCATCACTATTAGATGGCAGAAGGCAAAAATGTGTCATCTGTTCCGATAACGCCGTTTACCATCTGTTCCCTTGTGTCAGATGGGCGTTGGTGGCGTTGTAACTGTCTGGAGCAACTTTAAGTGTCCTTATTTGTTTCCCTTATCACTCTGAATAAACCCTATCGCGTTCAAGCTGTGTTGAACTGTTGGCTGATCATCTATACTCCTTCAAGACCTTATTGTTCATACAAAACACGATTGACTCGTTCATGCGAATAATGAACCACCCCATTGATCACACAAAGTACAGAAGCTGTTCAACGATAATAATATTCAATACTCGCCTGTCATCCAAAGTCTCCAGATATGTACTTACTCTTGCATATGCAGGACGGATTACAATGGTGTTTTAAATATTTGGACTTAACCATCATATTCTGTGACGGATTTACGTCAGAACCTGCAAGACTGTTGGCTGACAATACCACCGCCCAGCTTCCAACGCCTTTTTGAATCCATTTCCAGGCGTACTGTTGCTATTATCCAGGCAAAAGGTTGAGAAGTGTTTATAATAATTTGTGTTTTCCGTATATTACCCGAGAAACGGCGGGTTTCCAATGTTGGCAATATAACTTTTAATACAAGTTCAAAATGCAGATAAATAGAAAAGATGATGAAAAAGGATTTTAATATATATAAAAAATAAGATACATACAAGTATTATTTCTTCATAATTTTCTCAAACCTCTCCGATTAATATCACAAAGCGGAATTACCGCTAACCATAACTAAACATTTTGAAATCTTGTTAGAATCCCTAAACTTACTAATTATTTTCATTTTAGTTACATTAAAACTTCATGATGTTCAGACAGACCAGGCTTTATATTTACGTCAGAAATTCTGTCCGGGTCTGAAACCTCTTTGGAATATTTACACGAAAGTCTGTCGAATATTTCAGTTTCACAGGTAAATGATAATTTAAATGATGAAAAGAAAATAAAGTTTAAGAGAAAACTTTAAGAGCTAAGTATAAATTCTTAATAAATTTCTAAAATCTTCGTGATAGTATATCACATCTTTTGTGATATATCATATAGTGTAATTTGTTCAGTGTCACACAGAGGGAGGTAATAAAAGAAGTATTAAAAAGTATTTAAAAAGTTAATTATTTGCGTTTCGTCTTCGAACACTGCGGTTTATTTCAAATCGACAAACGTTATTGATGATGACCTTAAATTTGCAGTTAAACAAGGCGTATTCACTTACCATAATAGTCGCATGAAATTTGTTTCACCATATCGGACTATACATCTAAATTGATAAATAAGTTATTCTAATATGAAATCGCCATTAATTTTAAATGAAATGCTCTTTTTTTCCTTGAAAACTCTCGTTTATCTAACTGTAACAATTGAAAATTCAAATCATAAAAACATAAATCTAAACTCTATATGGTTTAGATCTTTATTTTAGATCATTGGAATCAAATGGAATTCTTACATTTGAGTACCAATAGAAACTTAGACATTTTGTGGTAATATGCCTTGATACATGTCAAGATATTTAATTGAAAGATGATAACGTAAAACTGATACTCCTGATATATCTTACAATTCTGAAGATGTGAATAGAAAGGGCCAAAAAATATAGAGGGATTCATATAGAGGGACTATTCCAAACTTCAAAGCATCTGATTTAAAATTAATAAACGGAATGAAAGCAGACTTCATATACAGATTGTAGAAAGCACGAGGTCATTAATTCCGAAAATCAAATTGTACTAAAAGTAACCGAAGAGAGGTATTTTGCCCCTGTCTGAACCGAAAGTGTGTGTAATTAATTACAATTAATGCGCAGTGTTTCAGCGCAGGTACCTTTTAAATATGAAGTTGCTTTCTTTCAACATCCGATTTAAACATAATTCTGTGGAATCCCACTTTAGCGCATTTAATCTCTTCGGAAAATACCACACGGAAAGATTTGATTAATCCGCTCAACTGATCCATTAATGCCCGTAGTAAATATTTACATTCATCTCAAATGTAGGTCTTATCTCACAACATTTCTACTTCTGAGTTTCTTTGGAGAGGCGTGTGTACCTCTCCGAATTCTGCATCAGTTGCGTAAATTATTCTGACTGGATATACGGGATTGCAAGTATTTCCAAAATTTACTTTGATGACGATCTCTAACCGATTCATTTTGCAACTCCACTAAATACGAGTATAGAGACCTTTTTCTCAACTACTTTGCCAAGGCCTGTCCATTTGGAGCAAAGTTTATTTATTCAAGCTGGTATTAATACTACTAATCACATATCTCAAATTAAAATCTCTTTACGTAGACCTCAAACTGTGGTAAGAAAAATAGTTCTGTTGCTTATTTTCAGAATTTTCTTTAGCAAACTTTTCTGCCTCCTGCAACTTATTTCTAAGCGAAAATACAGACTCCGTTACCTTCCGTCCCCCGTCCCTTTGGTAATACCATGTCATCCCTCCAACGTGATTTAAGTATCGCCAAACGTCCAAATCGTACTCGACCGTACATTACCAAAAATGGAGAGATTCGAATAGTTGAGTTTGATATATCAACATAAGCCCATAAGAAACACGGTAACTTCTTATCCCAGCTTTGTCCATGTGTATTTATTGCATGATGCAACACTGATTTAATATTTACGAATCACCTTTCCACCAATCTGTTTGACTGAGGATAACCTGAAGCAGGTTATCCGTTTTGACGAGTCTCCTAATCGCGTCCGAAACTCTTGTGCTATCTTGGCTTTAAAATTCGTTCCATTACCCGTGGTGATTATTTTAAGAACTCCCGCTTGCGTTAAAATATCAATGAAGGCATCACATGGGGCTTTCGTGGTAACCGCTTTGAATGGCACCACCTCCGACCATCTACTGTTTTGATCGACTGCATATAACACAAACTGGTGCTATCGTAAGGATTCTGGCTCAATCTGTCCTAAAATTTCCACTTTTGACTCATTCCTGTAATAGGCGCCCTTTCCTTCACTTTAATCTTCCTATGAAGCCATCATTTGTAAGCTTCACACTACTTCCGGAAATTCTTGCATTAATCCTTCCACTAAATTTACATTTTTGTCCTCTCCGCCGTCTTCTTGTTTGCGAAGTGTCCCCCTTATAAGCTTCTGTGAGTTAACATCGCCTCATTTCTTTCTTACGGCTTCCAGGAATCACTAATTGACTACATCGCTACCCATTGATATTTCCCATATGGAATAGGATCCCCGATTCTATCCAATATACGCGCCCATCCAGGAATGCGTTTTTCAAAGAACTACATTACCGTTGTTCCCGTCTAAAAGCTAAGTTTGCGGTAGGGGTGTACTATCAGCTGAGACTTGTTCGCTATCTCCCATTTATACTTTCGCTTCATTTTTATTCATTGCCAACAGGGCTGCATTCGGGCTCTTTCTGGCAAACATTCGACGTCGGAACTGATTTTTACTCAATCAGCCGACTATTCTCTGGCAACATTTTTTGCTTCCAGGCCAACTTCGAATATCAGTTTTTCTTCCTTGTTCTCTCCCAAAAAACATATCTTTGTTCGCTTAGGTGTCTATAATCTCTAGGCATTACTATCGCTTCTTCATTCAAATTAGGCAAAACTACCTGCGTGTGCATTTACGTAAGGTTTGTGCATCCTCGTATCCCAACCAGATACTTTTGGGTACCAAAACTAATTAGGCTTCTAAGTAGGATCAAACGGCAGACCTTAACAATAATTTCTTCCTTTAGGCATCCTCATTCATATCATCTTTCTCCGTTCCCCTTTTGGGTTTTGCCATTACGGTTATCTCTGGGCAAAATCATTTTATGTGCCCTTCACCCTGACACTGAAAGTATTTCACAATTTTCTTATCTTTCTGAACCATGCCCTGACGTTCTAAAGTGTTTACTCCTTTTGTATTTATCCTTCTCAATTCTATAATTCGAAATACAATTTCCCCTACTCTTATTTAGTGGCAACAACTTCTCCCCTTTTCCTACCTGTTCATGTTTGGGTCCTATTTAATTTACTTCAAGATTAATTGCATAGTGATGTCTAGGCATTGGAGCAACATAATTATCTAAATCATTTGCAAATTTCGATGGAAAAGCTAATTTTTTTACTTCTTTTGACAATATGTGGGCCTTAACGTTTGATTGTAATTGCTCTTTTATCTGACTCACAATCGAAAGTTCTCTAAGTTAATCAAAAGTTTTAACTATTCTAGGTATTAAATAGAAATCACATGCTGCCTCAACCCTCGCTAAGAGGCGACTGTAAGTTCCCTCATTCTATTTCATACATATTTTTTATGTTGTAATGGG